CAACGAGCCGCGCGCGAATTACACGTCTTCCCCGCAATTTTGCCGACAGACGTGTTCAGCGGCACGACCAGACTTACAGGTTAATTAAAACAACTGCGTTTACTGCAAATACGTCCGGTATCGCCAGCGGCCGCGAGCAAAGAGATTGCACGGGCTCTTTGCAATCTCTCTCGATACCCGGTGTGGTAATGGCGCGCTTCGGTTACATCGTCCAGGGGTAAAAACGTTTTCTCTTTTCTTTTTTATGCTCTTCATTCGAAGTCGCCGCTGCCGCGCGCGCGCGCGCGCGCGCGCGCACGATTCGTAAAATAAAACCTAAACACCGCCGCTCTGCGCACATCGCACCGAGTGCGTCCGGTCGGCTTATCGAAACCTGGCTGACGTTAAAGGGCGACATAAACGCCCTGTGTACAAGCGAACGTGTTAACTCCATCGTACCGTGTGTGCACGTACGCTCATTTTAGCCGCGGTACGACACCGTAATTTCACCGAGACGCCACATTCACGCGCGCTAATATCTCGATGGCGTTCGCGGATTTTTCTCCCGACAAAGAAATTTATTTCGCTTTTTAATTCATCGACGGGGGCGAACGAACGCGCCGCGATTTCGTTCCGCTTGTTAAACGCCACACGTGAATGTATCTGTCGAGTCGTCCGACATTTAATCGTCATTGACCGCGTGAGTTTCCGACGTTTAAACGCCGTTTCTCGCAGCAAGATCAGTAAAACGTCGGAGAAAGATAAATATCTGTTAAAAGAAAAGAGAAAAAAAAAAATATATATATATATATATACATACAAAACGGTACATATGTGGGGAAAAATGTCAAACTTCATACAGGGCAAATCGATTGTGCGTTAAGCGTTAAGTGAAGTCGCGAGAAGGATTAATGGTGATTAATGCAAGACTGCCTCCTCCTGTCCGCGTCGCGCGATTCTCCGAGAGCGCGCGATGAAATAAAGAAGAAATAGAAACCGGCGCGTCGGGGAAAGAGACAGAAGGAATAAAAATCGCCTACGGCTCGGGCGCGAATTCGGGTCATCGTGGGATCTCCGAGCAGCAACGCAGAATGTACAGGCCGAGTATGCATAAGTAAAAGCAATTGCAATACGCCGCGGTTCGATTCTGACCTTTTCTTTCTCCCGTCGTCGCAACGATCGATGCGGTCCACATGTATACATGCGTATATATTGATATGTACGTTCGCGCCGGCTCTCTCTCTCTCTCTCTCTCTCTCTCCCCCCCCCTCTCTCTCTCTCTCTTTCATATATGCTCGCACCAGCGAAATATAATTCGCACACGCCCAGTCCCCTGTGCCGCCGTGCGAGAATGACCAAAGAGAGAAAAGCGGAATTTCAGCCGAATAGCAGCCCCTCTCGCGCGCGCTCTTTGCCTCCCCTCCTCTCTCTCTCTCTCTCTCTCTCTCTCTCTCTCTCTCTCTCTCTCTCTCTCTCTCTCTCTCTCTCTCTCTCTCTCTCTCTCTCTCTCTCTCTCCCTCTTCTCCTTCTCGCGCATTCTCTTTCTCTCACCGAGATGATTGTTGCACGGGTATATTCCCGAACACGGTTAGGGAAAAATGTGTCCCTTTCCATTACGAAACGCGACCTCGTAGGTGGTTTTCAGGCGCGGCCGGACCGGCCTGTGACTTATGCGTTCGCGATTGCAAGCAGTGCGACCGGCGAATATTTCCAAAACGGTCGGATCATATCGAAAAATCCTTTTATCTCGGGAACATGTGTGTGTGTGTGTGTGTGTGTGTGTGTGTGTGAGCGCGCCTGTGTGTATGCATGCGTGTACTCCTGCAAGATGGAAGAGAAAAGCTCCGATGTTTTTTTCCGCACCGTGAAACGCACAACTCGAAATATTCTCGACGCGCGTTCGGGAGCTTCGAAAATAGGAAGCCGCTCGATGCGGCGGCTTTTAGTGCTTTTAGTGCGTGGTAATAACAATAACAACAGTGGTGATGATAATGATACACACGATAACGAGATTAGGAATTTGGAGAAAAAAGGCACGCGAGGCACGCGAGAATGAAGGAAATGCGGGGACTCGTCGCGTAAAGTTTTCAAGTTTCCGCAAAACTCGCGGAACGAAGGGCGACAAGGGGTAAGTACACGCGAAAGTTTTCCCCTACACGTTGACACGTGTAGCGGGAGCTCGATCGCGCGTTGACAGCTCGCCGCCACTCCAACTCTCTTTCTCTCTCTCTCTCTCTCTCTCTCTCTCTCTCTCTCTCTCTCTCTCTCTCTCTCTCGTTGCTGCCGCGCGCGTCGCTAACGACGGAAACCGAGGAACTTATTCGTACGAATCGTTGTACGGGTCGCTTATCGAAGACCTCCCAGGGAAGAAGACCGGTTGTCCATCCGCGCGGCTCCGAAGATTAATGAACGCCTGTACTAGGAGCGGAGGCTCATTAGAACGCATTAACCCCGAGTACTTTCTTCTTTTTTTTTTTCACGTTGCTTCATCCTAATGACACATCGACCGCTATCCCCCGTGAAATATCAAGCTTCGAAAAGGAATGGTGATTGCCGGCTTGCGCCGTAAATCGCATGCGCGTCGTCGTAATCGTCGTCGTCGTCGTCGTCGTCGTCGTCGTCGTCGTCGGGAGAATAATCTCCAAGACGTTTGCGCGCGTAGTAGTTACGGACTGTCTTATGAATAATCATGCAGATAGCAACGACAAAGCTACTCGAGCCTAACGGCTTCTACTGAGAACCACTTGTGAACGCCTCCGTTGTATTCGTCAGTTTTGTCAAGGATGCCGCGGCGAACGTACGCAGGAGGAGCCTAGGCTAAAAGGAAGAATAGAAGAATCAAATAAAGAGAGATAAAAAACTGCAATCTTTTGATCAAAAGTTATCACAGAGAGTGTGTTATGTCTTCTCTGCTCTCAACAACAATTTTATCGTAAATATGTCACGGGGCGGCTTACCGTTTGCTAAACCCGCTGTTGTATTCGCCATATCTCGCGAACGTGCCGCGATTGAACAGACGTCGCCGACTATAATTTGACTTTATAAATACTTCCCGCAACAATCGAGCGTGAGCCTGCGAAACGCGCGTGGCGCGACGGAACTGCCATTTTCGCTCGCGGGTCCGCGGGACCGATTTTACTCCGACGGTGCAAACTGAAATCGAGTGCGACGAACGCGACGACATGTGTGTACGCGTGAACAATAATAATAATAATAATAATAACGCATTCCCTGGATCGTATCTTATCGCCATTATCGCGGTTTTCTCAGAAGCAGCCGGTTTATCTGCCGGCGGTGTATGTGGGCCAGATAATTTCATAATGTGGCGCAGCCGAGAGCGCACGACTTCGGAGGAAAAAGACTTCCCGCGTCCGGGCCCATTTCGCGCGGAAGTATTTCCATTTCGCGTAAATAGCTTGTCGCTCACTCCCGCTCCACTTTTCGCCGGCGGGGGAGAATTACAAAATCTAATCAGGACAGCCGCGCAGCACCGTAGTCGCTTCGATTCACGCGCGTTTTTTTCGCATTCCGTGCGCGTCGCAGCGCGCGAGAGAGCCGCGGAAGACGTAAAAACGTCCTCCGCGAGAGTCCGCTATTCCGAGACGTGTCCGTCGATTTATGGAAACAAGGTTTAACGTGCAGCAGCCGAGTCTAATTATTGTCTCCGATTAGCGAGACATGGCGCTGTCGATTGAGACATTGAGACAAAGAGAGAGAGAGAGAGAGAGAGAGACGCGAAATTGAAGAAACGGAAAATATTTTCCACTCGTGCGCACAGTGAATATATATTAAATATTAATCAAGTATTATTCAAATACTTTCCGCCGTTTCAAGATTCGAGTCGCCTTGGCCGCGATGAAATGGTGCGCAACATTGCCGTTAAAAATTAGAATATGTTAATAAACATGATTCCAGAACCTTCAGCTCCAAACGCGCTTTTTTACATAGATATCAGTGACGGAAACGCGGGGGAGACCCTCTCCCTCTGACGCTGACTTTACGATCGCGCGAGTCTTTTCGCGAGCGAAAATTGGAGGAGAGCAGCGGCGCCGGCGGTGAGAGACCGATCGGGGAGAAGGGGGAGACGATTTAGCGAACGCAATTAAACAAAACGACGCACAATAACCTTTATCAAAATATAACGACATTCCGAATTGCGATAAATAGCGCGTTCGATTAAGCATACCGTAAATTTCGTCGCGCTGACCACGGCATGTGACGCCGCGGATATTATTTTTTTTCGAGCGTTTCAAAGGGATATTTATTTTTGTGATTTCATCGGGAAAAAGATATCCCACTTGTTTACGCGATATCGGAAAATTGGTAAAACCGTCCTGTAATAATTATGCAAGATAACCCGACCCGGGGAGGGGGGAGGTTATCTCGCGTATCTCGCGGAATATACCTCTCGAACGAAATGTGTTTTCCCGCCACTCTCTCTCTCTCTTTCTCTCTCTCTCTCTGTCCCATTTTCTCTCTTGTCCGCGCGACCAAAGTGCCACGAAAATCTGATCAAATCGTGTGCTCTTCTGCGCGGGCGGATCGCCGATATGTCTGCGAGTTTCTAAATATTCTTTCACAGCGCGCCATACTATTTATATATTATCTCATCCGGCTGATAACGAGAACTCATTTCGCGAAGTCACGATGCATCTTTACGATACGCTCATAGACACGCCGCTCTATTATCGCTGATAGAGCTCGAGCGTGCGGCGTACTTTTACGGAACGCCAGGGGAACCCCAACAGGCTCTGTCGCGGGGAAAAATTCGCAAATAAGATCACGCGCGAGGCACCCGCTTCACAAGCGAGATGCGGCTCGATCGCATCGCATCGCACCGCATCGCATCGCTCGCTCAACGCGACAACCCGCGATGGGACAAACGCAGGGGATGGTAAAAAGTGTCGCGCGGCCGACCGCACTCGACCGCGGCGTTCGATGCGCGCAAATATACGGTACATATACGAGAGGGCAAACAACGCGGCACGGTAGGCAGAAAATGAATTCGAAAGTGTACTCACCTCGGTGCGCTGCTGCAACCTCTTGTTCAACTCGTACAGCCTGTAGTCCGGTTGGCTGAAGTACGGAGTATGCCTCCTGGGGACAGGTAACGATCTGTCAGATCAGACCGATCGGTCATGTTAGGTGTGCTGTGTGCGTGTGTGTATATGTGTGTGCACAGTGTTACTCTCGTGTGCACCGCGTGTTTCATACATGCAACATCCATCCCGTCGCGTCGCGCCCCGTCCCGTCCCGCCCCGCCCCGCCCTCCGACCGGCACACACACACACACCCATCCACCACGTCGGTCGGGTCGCGCGCGTCGCGTCGTGTCACTTTGCACGAATTTTCGTAAGGTGCCCCGAGGGGCACCGACATGCACTACCGGCTCTCTCGGGTCGAGTCCGCACGAGCTCGGACGTGGCACAGATTCGCGAGATGTAGTTTACGACTTTCACCGAGCGATCGCTCGCGCGATCCTTCTTCACGCACCAGGCGAGCGCGAGCGCGAGCGCGTTCGAAAGATACGCGCTTATCGGGCGAAGGGCTCGGCGCGACGATTACTGATCTCTAAAGCCGCTTTGCCGCATTCCCACAGTGTCGCGAGCAAGTAGTACAGTTGTACTTAATTCTCGTTCGAGCGATCGGGCCTCTTTTTCTTCGAGTCCGTCAAAGAACGAGTTGAGATCGCGCCGAATCCGTCTTTTCATTTCACCTCGGCGCAACACGAAGCTCACGCTGTGCACACACGAAAATAACACATATGTTCATACCTTATATAATATAAATAATATTGGCTAATCTAATTTCACTCACATGCGAGCGAACTTGCGGCATCGAAAGTTCAATTTTATCGTCGACAAAGTCGAATTTTCTTGTTGTTGTATTGTGAATTTTCCCCTTCATCGACTTGGGTGAGGAGTCGCGAGTCGGAGAATCTCCGATGCTGCAAGTACGCGACGATTGGTCTACGGCGGCGCGCTGACGTAATGTACGTACGTCTCGCCGGCCGGAGAAAATGATCTCTCGGCGCAATTATCTCCGTATCCGCGCGGCGGATGTTGGCCGTAACGAATGCAAAGTTCCCAAAAGCGAGCAACAGGGAGAGAGGATAAGTCACCGGGATCGTCATTACCGCGGGACGCATAATTAAAATGCCATTAAACCATCTTTCTTGTGCCGTAAATGCGAGACGCCGGCCAAGAATACGTCCCGAAATAAGGATTGCCTCCCGACGCGCTGTTCTATGACCACCCTTTATCGCGTAATCATTAATCCTCACCGGAGACTCTTTGTCGGAGTCGAAAAAACTGAACACGATCGATATTTATAGAATATTCGAATGACGAATGTCTCTCTCTCTCTCTCGCTCTCTCTCCCTCTCTCTCTCTCTCTCTCTCTCTCGTGACGTATCACGTTGTTACGTTAATACCTTGTCGCGCGCTATCGATGAAAACGTTATGGCTATTAATGGCACGTCGAGACTGAACTTTGGATCTCGCGCGATCTTGTGCGACGCACGCGACAGCATGCCCCGTGAAAATGCCCGATAGCATTAATCGCGTAGCAGTCGTCGCAGCGTTCTAATTGAATGAGAGAGCCGATTACATTAACAACGAGACATCGTCGCGGCGCACAGCGACGGTAAAAGATACGAGACGACGCGGCGGAGAGAGAACCAATCGGAAGAGGATCGCACGGGGGGATCGATCGATCGATCGACCAAGAGAGCTGCCGCTCGGCATCGATCTCCGTTTCTTACGAAATCACCAGTCTGAATTAGAATTGTAGATATCCTCGTATAATTGCGCTGTTAGGATGAATTTCTAAACGGGCTTCTCGACTCGAGCCATCGAGAGTCGCTCAAACATAAGTATAACTCAAATATTCAGGCATATAGAATGTCGGTATATAAAATCCTCGCTGTGTCCGGCCGCGGTCGGTCTCGAAGCGCGAATATATTCCACGAAGAAAAATATCGTATCATTCCACCGTCAAGAAACACGATTGCTTAGTTTACCCCGGCTTCGAGCAATGCTTATTTTCAACAATGAATATTCTCTCGATAATTCCTCACGTATACTCTCCTCACACAAATGTGTCCGTTATCAAATTTCCAATTTACGTTGCAAAATAATGCGAATTACCGGCACTTCGAGGGCCACTCGAAATTCCCGAATATTCAATCAACCCGGACATTTCCGGATATTCGAGTTCATTTCCCCATTCTGACGTAAAAATCACCGCCGTGGAAGTATTTTTCGAGCGTCCGCACGCGTACATATGTATGACGCTCCCTCGTTGACTTAGTGCGATCGCTCGCCGGGAGAGAGAGAGAGGGAGAGAGAGAGAGAGAGAGAGAGAGGGAGAGAGAGAGAGAGAGAGAGAGAGAGAGAGAGAGAGAGAGAGAGAGCTCCAAGGTAGGCAGGCGCGTTTTAATAAAGTTTCGACCTAGCTGCTCCGAGCGAGCGAGCGAAATTAACCGCGAGCGTGAAGACTTTTAAAACCGACTTCTAATAGCGTGTGCGAACGCGATCGTCCTTTCCAACGACGACAACGACAACGACGACGACGACGGGAGTTTGGTCGCTCAGCTGTTTGTTGAAATAACGTTACGCCAAAACCAATAATGACGCGAAGGTCGTCGTATTTACGCTGTCAGTTGGATTGCCGGCGATCAACCGGACGGCAATATTTTGATATTGGCCGCGAATCAATTACCGGCGATATCGAGCGTTATTACACGGCTGATCCAATTTTCAAGAATTAGCCTGTACAATGACGAGCTAATAGAGCGCCTGGTAAATGCAAATTTATTTTTCTGTCTTTCCTTTCCGTACGACTCGAACGCACGTTTGTCCGATAATACGCATCCGTCGGCAGGCACCATATACGGATCGTCGGCAGTCCGTTTGGCAAAGCGATTAATCGTCGAACCGAATCCTGATCGACCCGCCAAATCACGAGGATGTGATTTCGGTCTTGCGGCAAGTCGACTCGGGCAAAAGTCCACAGTATCCGTCGCCGCGTTTGTTTCGACGTGATATCACTGCATATTAATACTCTTGCGTATCAATCTTCAGAGTGAGAGAGGGAGAGGGAGAGGGAGAGGGGGAGAGAGAGAGAGAGAGGGAGAAGGGACGCGCGTGCGCGCGCGCGCGACGCTGCATGTAATGAATAAATGATATTCACGTAAAGTTTAGGTGCTTCAGCCGGCGGCTCTCAAATCATCGAGGATCAGACCTCTCGGCTGTTGCGGGCCGTGCAGCGCGCAACGGCAGTTGGTTAACCGGTGGGTAATTAACGTCGAATTGATAATATTTAGTACTCGAAATGCCTGAGCCGGCACGGTGCCGCGCGCGTATTCGCGCCCCCGAGGCCGGACGAGCGATCATTAAGAAGCGAACGCGCCGTGTGGTGATTAATAACAAGAGTAACGCAGAATATCCCAGTAACAGAGAGGGAGAGGGGGGGAGAGAGAGAGAGAGAGAGAGAGAGAGAGAGAGAGAGAGAGAGAGAGAGAGAGAGAGAGAGAGAGAGAGAGAGTTGAGCGCGCCCGCGCTTCCGCCAATGAATTTCAGGACCGTTCGACCGGCGATCGATACGACGTTTAGCACGTTGCATATTCTCGTCCCGCGGCGGTTTAGCGCGGTGCACGAATCACAGGACGCGCATAATACGTCGCTCCGTGGCGACGACGGGTAAACGAAAGAAGAGCGAGTACGAGGGATCAATCGAGTTTTCGGAGGAAGAAAAGCTTTATCGCTGCACGTCGCGAGCGCGACGTTGCGGCGGAAAAGGACCGACACTTCGACCAGTCGGTCGGAATATAATGATTGCGCTAAATTAATTCCACCGCTAAATTACTTCGCTAATGAGAAATCGATTCTTCCCTCGCGGATATCTTTCGCTCGTGAGCGTCCAAATTTCTCAAATGTAGCGTAATCAGAGATATCTTCAAACATCACGATCGATATCGCGAGGAGCCAGGGAAGGAACGGGGCAAGAGAGACGGTGAGAAAGACGAGCGAGCGGCGCTCGCGAAAACTCCGCGCGACGTCGAGTTGAGTTCGGCGAAAGTTTCGCCCGCGGAATAATGCAACTTCGCAAGTTGCATCCCGGCGAGAGCGAGACGCACGATGCTCGTAGGATCGCCCGTTTTTCTCGCCTAAGGTCAAGAAGAGATCCACCTTCATGTGGCACGCGAGGTTGTGGACTTTACCCCCGAACTCGCGACGCCGACCTTGATGTTACATGTGTCGCTGTTTCTTCCATGTATTGGCCGGCGTTGCAAAATCGTTATGCTAATTATAACGAGCTTGGTTGCGATATTATACGCGCGCGCGCGCGTGCGTGCGTGCGGGAGGAAAAGAGAGAGGGAAGAGAGAGAGGGGGGGGAGAGAGAGAGAGAGAGAGAGAGAGACGGAGACACAGATATCGCGATAATGCGGAATAATAATTACGCGAATTGTTAGCTTCGCGTGCGCGCACGTGCACGAGTGAGAGACCAACGGCGGGCGCAACTGACGCCGCGAAGGAGCAAATTAGAGCTTATATTTCGATCCTGTAGAATATCACGCGACAAAGTGCTCTCCGCGGTCTGTATCTTTCCAGCAGATTGTTGTTATCGCCGGCGTGAGCAGCGTTATCGTCGCTGAAACATCCGGTGCCGTAACGCTTATCGCGTGACGAAAGAACGACGGTTCCTTCTGCCGCGATGCGGTGATTTGCTGAATGCAATTTTAACCGGGCCGCAGAGCTCCGGCGCGCTGCCGAACACGCACGTTCGGAACCCGAAGCCCGGAGTTTCGTCGGGAGAAGCGGCCTTCACGAGATAAGACGGTTCTTATGACGAGTCTCCTCGTGTTCAGCACAATCGATAAGATAATTCGGCCGAACGCAGAGATTTCGGTCGAGTTCCGTATCGCGAGGATGCGTCAAAGGCTGAGCGCGCTGACGGACAGACGGATAACTGTCGTCGAATGTTAAAACCCGTTCATCCCGTCTAGGGAGGCAAGTCTCTCCCCAAGTCCTTGGCGACTTGGTCTGAAATTTCGTTCGCGGATCGAGAGAAGATATTACCGATAATCGATCGTACAAAAACCGACAAGATC